GCGTTCTTGAGGTCTACATACATCTTTTTCTTTAAATGCAGAGTATTCTCCACTTTTTTTGTTTTCTCCCAGTCTTCCGTATAATGAGGAAGTTCCAAATCTTTTGCACTTAGGCTGGTTGAGAGAGGGAAGCTTAGTACAGAGATGGTGTGTGTCCTGAATCTAATTATCTTCCATTGATGAATGCTCCCCTCCCCATAGGGTCCAGTTGGGGACCTTCTGTACTAAGCTTCCGTTGTATACAAAAACAAAACCTACCATTTCTTTGTAGTATAAGGTTCTAGAGCAGTTTCCCCAAGGCTGAGTGGCTGAGATAGAGAAGACAGAGTTAACATTTTCTCTGACCAGTGGCCCAGGTTTATAATTCGTGGGGCCTTAGGAGGGTCTCTAGTTGCTCCAGCTGTTTCCACATCTGGAGGAATATGGGCTAGGAGCTCAGCCAGTAGTAATGGTCAATAGACAATGCAGTTGGAGGACAAGGCAGCCCTGAAGTCCCCAGGCCACTCCCTAAAGCCTGATGGCTCACATTCCTTGTTAACCTCTGTGGCTGAACCAGGGTCAAATTGAGTAATATGGGTCACCTACGATGTTGGCGGCTCTTTGTGCTCTTGGCAATGACAAATTTTGAAAACAGACCTCAGCTGAAGATAACTTCTCAATCATATTTCACATTATTATGTAGGGCCCAATATAAATTCCCATATAATAGATACATGACATAAAATTATTTATCTTATCAGTTAGGACTCCTTTTAGCAACCTATCCCCTTCCTCTCTCCATTATTCTAGAAGTCTTTTTTTGTTTGTTTGTTTGTTTTTGGGCTAGGCAATGGGGTTAAGTGACTTGCCCAGGGTCACACAGCTAGTGATTGTCATGTGTCTGAGGCCAGATTTGAACTCAGGTCCTCCTGACTCCCGGGTTGTTGCTGTATCCACTGAGCCACCTAGCTGCCCTTCATTCTTCTGTCTTAAGCCTCCCAAACAAGCCTGGTGCCTGCTCCTTAACCTTTCTTGATTCCTTTCTCTTGCATCATTCATTCATTCTCTGTGTCTTTAATGATACTGGAATCTTCCAACTTGGAATGAAGACAGATGAAGGAGAAATCTTTTTGGAAGGAGTATGGATGAGAAAGCTGGATGCTAGTGCAAAAGAAAGGCACTTTGTGGAAGGGTGAACATGAAAAACCTGGAAGAGTAGAAAGCAGAAACTAAAATAATTGACTTTTCAACCACCTGCTTTGTTTCTTTTCAGAAAAAAGAGGCAGATTCCTCCTGGCATTTGATTTCTAGAGAACTCTCAGGAGGAAGATCAGGATGGAGAGAGGAGGTGACAAAAGAAGTGGGATAAGAAGAATAGGAGGTGAAAGAAGATGACTCAAAAATGCCCTTTCTGGGGCAGCTAGGTGGCACAGTGGATGCAGCGCTGGCCCTGGAGTCAGAAGGACCTGAGTTCAAATCCAGCCTCAGACATATCAACACTCACTAGCTTGTGTGACTAGCCCAGAGTCACATAGCTGGTAAGGATGGATTTGAACTCAAATCTTCCTGACTCCAGTCCCAGTACTTTATTCACTGTGCCACCTAGCTACCTTCACACTCACTTTTACCTCTATCACAAATGAGTGGGAAATAGCCCTAGGCTTGGCACCAGAAGGCCTGGACTATTCCAGTAGCCTTCTAGCTGGCATGCCTGCCTCAAAAGTCTCTCCCCACTTAACTCACTTATCAAAGAGATCTTCCTAAAGCACATATCACCTCATACCTAGTTGATCTCAATCACCTCCAGGATAAACCTGACCCCTTCCTACCCTTCTAGTCTCCTTACAACTTATTCCCCTCCACGTACTCTGAGATCCAGTGACACGGGCCTCTTTACCTTCATCTCCCAATTCCTTCATGCCTGGAAGTCTCCACTTCCTAGCTTCCCTGAAGTCTCAGTTAAAGTCCAACCTTCTACAAGAGGACTTTCTCAGTTTGTTTTGTTCTTAGTGCTTTCCCTCTGAGATTATCTGCAATTTACCCTGTATATATCCTGTGCTGTGAACATAGCTGTCTCCCCACCTCAGGCTATGAGCATCTTGAGACCAGGGATTGTCTTTTGTCTTCACATCCACAGTGCATGGCACCTAGTAGCTGCTAATAGTCTGACTCATTGAAGAGGCTTAAGTGACTTGTCTAGTGATAGTATGTATTACTTCTTGACTCCTGAGGCTAGCCCTCTATTCTCCTTTCCTCTCTTTGACCACATAATCACTTGGATGTGTGGTGGAGATGGCAGTGAAATCCCTACGATGGAGGTGTGGGAGTGGACAGTAGAATCCCAAACAGAGCTGGGGAGTCAGTAATAACTGCCAAATTCTCTCTTCCCTTTGGGGAATCCCAGCAAACCATATAGAGGAAGAAGCAATGATCCAGAGCTTCCAGGTATGATAAGGATTTATGAATAACTTTGATAAGGCTGCTCTTGAGGCAGTTAGGTGGCACAGTGGATAGAGTTCCAGGCCTGAAATAAGGAAACCCTGAGTTCAAATTTAGCCTTACATACTTACAAGCTGCACTTGCTAGCTGTGTGACCCTGGGCAAGTTTAACAACTTAGCCTCTGCCCAAGTTTCCTCATCTGTAAAGTAAGGATAATAATAACTCCTACCTCAGAGGGTTGTTGGGAGGATTAAACAAGATAATAATTGTAAAGCACTTAGCACAGTGCCTGGCACATAGTAAACACTATATAAAGCTTAGCTATAATTCTTATCTCAATTTACTAGTTGGGGACCCTCTGGCATAGGCAATAAGGCACCTTTATAGGATCTTGAGCAGGCATTTGGATAACTCCCTTGGAAAGCCAAGGAATCTTGGAGCTGGATGGGATATTAGAAGTGATTGAATTCAACTCATACTGGACTTTACAAAACACTCAGTAAATTGTCATCCAGTCTGCTTAAAGAGCTCTATCTAATGAAACGGAGCCCACTCCCTCTCAAAGTTGCTCATTCTGCTAAGAATACCCGAATGCAAGTCTACCTGGCTTGTTAATGAGTTTGTACCCAAAAGGGAGAGCAGGCTTGGGGAGGGGAAGGGGAAGTAGGGCATTTAGGTCAGAAGGGGTCTCACCCTTCCTGCGGCTGTTGCCCTGGTTCACTTCCAGAGACACTGCCAAACTCCTTCAAATCAGAGGAAAAGGAGAATTTCTTTGGAAACTTTGTAACCTACCATTAAAACATCTGGGTGTAGGAAAGCAATCCTTTGCCCTAAATAAGTGACTTATGACTGTCCTTGGTACTCTGGATTTCTTTTTAATTGTAGGCCCCTTTTAAACATACAAACACACAGGGCTTTTGTAAATTTAAATTCCCTCTTGTATAGACTAATTCTCCTGAACATACAAACATTCTCTCTCTTTCTCTTTCCCCTTCTCTCTCCTCCTCCTCCTTCTCTCTCTCTCTCTCTCTCTCTCTCTCTCTCTCTCTCTCTCTCTCTCTCTCTCTCTCTCTCTCCCTTCCTCTCTCCCTCTCTCTTTCTCATAGCATGTAAACATTGGTCTCTTACTCACCTACTAGATTTCAGTCCCTTATCCCTGCAAAAGGGATAAGATTCTAGAATCTACAGAATCTCTCTTTCTTCACCAGGGCTTACAGAATTAGTCTCCATTCCTATGTAGGTTCCTTTGATGATAGAACCTACTAAGGAAAAAGCTGTCTTGGCTGGTGAGTTAGTGAGACCTCTGCTGTTCCCTCTCCCATCCAGGTGTGCATAGGAGCAGATACAGTAGGTACATTATGAAGCCTTTGTGATTATTTTGCACACCTACCTCTAATGCCTCTCCCATACCTTCTGTTATGTGCAGAGGCATTGACCTTTTTCTTTCTGGTTCTTCATCAGTGTTTTGACATTCTTGAATCACTTCAGAGGCAATCTACCCCCTGAAAGACTACTTAGGCATCATGGTGGTTAAGTGCACTCTTCCAACATCTCCTTTCTTTCCACTTCTTTTTCCTAGGCTGGTTTACAAATGGTGGACAATTCCAGGGGCAGATAGATGACCTTAGGGACTGATTCCTGAAATCAGGATTTCCCTGGCCATTTCTGGTGTAGATTAGGTTCCCACAGTTATTTTATTATTCCCATTATACTGAATAGTTTCATCTCCAGCTTAACAATGTCCTTAAAAATGTATTTGATACTCTAGATTGAACTCTATATTCTACATATGCTCTGAGGAGGGAAGATTATAGATGAACAATCACACACACACACACACACACACACACACACACACACACACTTCTTCGGCTTCTCTTTCTGGAATGCAACAGTCTTCCTCTTTTTTGGTGCCCTCCCTCTTTCCATTCTTGTGCTGGGTGTTTTGTGAGGTCCCTGGTTTCAAGGAGATATTACTACTTTAGGACCATGGTGTGTGTGTGTGTAAAACACATAATTTGCCTGAGAGACAGATGGAGAAACAGACCGACACAGAGTCCTTGCAGTCTTTGAACCAACTTGATAAAGGTCACTTACAGGAGGGAAGACCCAGCTGAGAGCTTTTATTGGGAACTACAAGAGGAATGTCCCCAAAGCTCAGGAAGTGCCATTCTATGGCAGAAGTGAAACACCTACCGGGGTCTAGTGGGCTATTATCTAGGGAAAATGGGAGTTAAGGCAGCATCATAGCAACCAACTAATTTACCCCTAGTTCACGCTTCCTGCTAGTCTCCCTTCCCTCCCTGCAGGACAGAAGAGGCCAAGTGGCTCTCGGCTGGTGTAGGCGGGGCCCAGTTCTTCGGTAGCCCCAGGAAGCTTGGGGGCTGCAAGTTAGGAAAGGAGAGGGGAGGGGAGGGACGCGAGCAGCGTACTCCGAAGCGGTGCGGGCCCTTTAAGAGGGCTCGCCCTGTGCAGCGCCGCCAGGGTCTGCCCCTCTACTAGTGGCTGCGGAGGCTCCAATAAGCGTCCCAGCGCCTCCCCGCCAGGCCCTGGGCCACAAATCTTAGTCTTCTGCACTTGACAGCGATGGTATATAAAGCTCCCAGAGCGCGCGCTGCTTCAGGAGATACAGGTAGGAGTCGGGGGGAGCACAGTGTGCGCTCGCTGCCTAGCGAGCATTTAACCCCGCTCTTCCTTTATCAGCCCCAAAGCTGTTGTCCCTCTGGCTGGGTGCAGCCATACTAAGAGCTGCCCAAGAGCAGGGCAGCGCTCCTTTCTGGGAGTCCTTCTGTGCACAGCCCCTGGCGCCATGCTCTTGTTAGGCATCCTTGCCCTGGCCCTTATTGTGGTCCCCGCTTGCGGTTCGGACCCCGAACAGGAGATTGTGGTTCCCATCCGTCTGGACCCCGACATCAACGGGCGCCACTATTACCGGCGGGGTCCCGAGGACTCGGGGGACCAGAGACTTATCTTCCAGATCACTGCCTTCCAGGAGGACTTCTACTTACACCTGGCTCCTGATGCCCAGTTTCTAGCGCCCGCATTTGCCACTGAGCATCTGGGTGTCTTCCAGGCCGGAGTGTCCGGGGGCTCTCCCGACCTCCGCCGCTGCTTCTACTCAGGGGATGTGAATGCCGAGAGGGACTCATTTGCAGCTCTGAGCCTATGCGGGGGTCTTCGTGGTGCCTTTGGCTATCGGGGCGTAGAGTATGTCATTAGTCCCCTGCCCAATGTCAGCGCGCCTGAAGCGCAGCGCAACAGCCAAGGTGCACATCTTCTCCAGCGCAGGGGCGACCCTGACCGGACACCAGGGGACCCTACCTCCCGCTGCGGGGTGGCCTCGGGCTGGAATCCGGCCATCCTGCGTGCCCTGGACCCCTTTAAATCCCTTCGGGCAGACTCGGGCGAGAGCCGGCCACCCCGAAGAGCAGGGCGAGCCAAACGTTTTGTGTCCATCCCGCGCTACGTGGAAACACTAGTGGTGGCCGATGAGTCGATGGTGAAGTTCCACGGTGCGGACCTAGAACATTACCTACTGACACTGCTGGCCACTGCCGCGAGGCTCTACCGCCATCCCAGCATCCTCAACCCCATTAGCATCGCAGTGGTCAAGGTGTTGGTCCTCGCGGACAGGGACAAGGGACCCAAGGTCACAGGCAACGCGGCGATGACCTTGCGCAACTTTTGCGCCTGGCAGAAGAAACTTAACAAAGTAAGCGACAAGCACCCTGAATACTGGGATACTGCCATCCTCTTCACCCGTCAGGTGAGTACTGCTGGCTCCTCGTGAATCCAAAATATTTCCGTGACCCCAGGGCTACTTGCAAGTTTCTTTTAATTGCCCTTTTAATCCCTTTGAACTTCAGGCATCCTCTTCACCGCCCCCTCGCCCCTTCCCCATTCAACAAATTCATTTCTGCGGTTTGCATAAAGCCTTACTATGTATGACCCTATTCAATTCTCTCTTGTTCCGTTTCCAGCCACATAATCCCCAAGGGTTTGGGGAGGAGAGAGGGAAGAAAGGGATTTCCGCTTATTTCTGAATCTTGCTACCACCTCAGTTCCTACTTTGCTTCCGCCCTCCAACTAGGTTGAGTCCCCAGGTCACGTTTTGGCAACGAGCTTTAGGGAGGGTTGGTGCTTTAGGGAGGTGTTGCCCCAAGTGGCCAATCAGCGTCGGAGCAAACCAGGGAACTCGGTGGGCTGGAATTTGGGAAAACGGCTGGCTAGTCTCCAGTTCTCACTGAGGCCGAAAGGAGGCGCTCTGAGGATGGTTGGTGGAGATCTTTCAAGTGCTAGAGCTGTTAAGGTGGGGGTGCAAAAGTCCTCGCCCTGGCCGATCTCCTTCCATTGGTCAAAAGACTGGAGAATGACAATCCCAGTGTCAGCGAGTTGGGCCCTCTGCAATGTTGGGGCTAGTAGGGCATCCTACTTGCATGGGATTCAGATGGAAAGTGTTGCTGCCATCCTTTGTGTCTTCTGGGCATCAGTCAATGCAGAGGACAATTCCTTTAGGGCTTTGGGAACTCTGTCAGGCTCATGTCTTCTGCTGCTGCCTTCTCTTGACCTGGCATTTTGCGGGTGAGTGTTTCTTTCTTTAAAGGATGTGTCTCGCTAAAAGCAGGCTGTCTAGCTAAGGCACCTGTTTGGGAGCTGGGGTGCCTGGGCCCTGCTTCAGTTCCCCACTTGCAGTGGAAGTTGGGGAAATTCCATCTGATTCCATCAGCTCACCTCTGTAGCAGGTTCAGACCCGACTTTGGCTCTACAGGGCACAGTAATTCATATGTTTCTCATCGAAACTCTAGTCCTGCTTTTAACATCAAAGCCAAAAAACTGCTGCCTTTGTTTGCACTAGTGTTTGAAGTGGACAGATGGAGGAAAAAACTTGTTTGAGAAGGTGTAGTTGGGGGGAAGGGGAGGGGATGCCTGAAATGGGGAAGAGATACTCACAGGTCAGAAAAGTCACGCTGTGGTTTAGAGCATCTAGTTTTGGACTTTGAAATCCCCAGGCTGGCTAGGGGTTCTGCATCCCATCTCCTGGCATCTTCAGGGAGCAACAATCAGAACCAAATTTGACATTGCTGATGCTTGCAAGACTCAGCTCTTTCTTAAGGATTCCCATACCCTGGGGGCTGACTCAGGTCTTCTCTATTGCAATCTTTGAGTAGTAACTTTACCATCACTAATGCTTCTCTCGCTTCCTATAGAAATACTTTTTTTTTGGATCTATGATTTAATTGGCATAGGGTAACTCCCAAGGGAGGACATTTTTTTCCTATGAGAAATTCCCTCTACCAGTTCAAGAACTGGCAATTGTTCTGCAGCGTTCAGTCTTAGAGAGGTACTTTGGGGTACCAAGTGGTCCCAAGCCCAGTATCACACAAGCCAGTAGGTGTCAGAAGGTGGGCTTGAACCTGTTTTCCTCATTTTTAGTGTCATTCTATTTATTATACTGTGCTTCCTCTCCTGGCCAGAATATCTGTGGATGAGAACTTCTATTCTCTTGGCATCCTCCTCCCACCACCTGGCTTCTCTTGGGGGCTACTTGGCCTGTGATAGTTGTTTTACACAAATTCTTCCAGACTAGGGAAGTCTGTTTGCTGCATCTGTTGGGCTTCTACAGTACTGACTCATCTTGGGAGACCATATAGGGAGTCTCCATGACCCATTCATAAAACCCATCTCTGCCCTCAGTTTGGTGAGAACTAAAGCAAGGCCTATAATGCACCATGAAGCCATAGTCACTTTTACTTCTGTGCCGCCATCTCATTAACTCTTGCTGTCCCCTGTGGAGGTCAGTTACAGGCTCTAAAGCAATCAATATCCTTCTCCGTAGTTCTGAGCCAAAGCAGACTTTTTGGAACCAAGTTGGAGAGCACAAGTCCTTCTGGGAATTTAGACCATGCAAGACAGAGGGATCCTGTCCTTTGAAGGAAAAGAAATCAAACTGAATGGATTGAGGACTTCTCAGTGATGTGTTACACCCATGACTTGACCCCAGGATGTCATGTTGGCCTCAAATAGTGAATACAAGATGCAGGACCAGTTTGATCTAAAGCTGTGGCTTACAGTGTATGTGGTTTTCCAAAGCTGCCTTTCCCTAGGAGTCTAGAGGGCAGGGATGGACAGAGAAGAAGCTTGGTTGGCTGTTCGGTCCTTAAGGTATGTGCCTGAGACTAGAGTAACCACATTCCCAGCAAATACTTACGAGCTTGCTATATTCTAAGGGCCTTACCAAGCCCCTCATTCCTGAACCCCCTAGGGCAAGTACAGTATGAGATGAGAACTCATACCAAACACAGCTGCACTTTTTGTACTCTGGCAGCCAAAGTCTCCAGAAACTAGGGGATTGAGCCTACTACCAAAATACTCCCAATATAAGAAGTGAGACTTGTGTTTTCTTTTGTAAGGATCACTTGCATTGTTCAAGTCAAATGGACTGGTCCTTTGTCTGAGTTCTGCAGTCCTTCTTTTGGCCTCTTGTGGTATTAGGAGCATATTTATATTTGGATGAAGTTCTTCTCTCTCTCTCTCTCTCTCTCTCTCTCTCTCTCTCTCTCTCTCTCTCTCTCTTTCTCTCTCTTTTAAAGATAACTTGGTCTCCAATACTAACTCTTCTAAATGTTTTGTATTTTTCTCCCTTGAAATTTTATCTTTCTAGACAGGGACAGCTGAACAAAGCATATTTGATGGAGCTGGATAAAAAGCATGATCTTCTCTTCCCTGCTTAGAATTGCCACCTTGATGGCCAACTCTTTCATATCCCAAGGGAATTAAAAAGCTGACTAGTGATGCTTATTTATTCTGAAATGGGTCAGTGAGGTGACTGGCATGCTTAGGGTTCACATCTTTCTCTCGAAAAGAAGATGTGAGCAGCAGCTAGTGGGCTCCTAGGTACAAGAGATGACTGACTAAATTATGATTTGCTTGTAGTAGGAACTTCCCTTGAATAAAAGCCAAAGCTTCTAAATCTAAAGATGATGGGGTAGCTATCCTGGCAGAGACTATTGCCTTTTTGGGCTGTAGGCAGCATAACCACTGGGAAGAGAAGACCTTGGAAGGATCTGGAGATATTTTGAATGACTGATAATGGAATCAACATATCAGCAGATGGTGGCAAATATTCAGAGTGAAGACAGCTTGATGGACAAATGTCACACATCTGATGTTGCAGAAGGAACCACAGATATTCTCCTTGTGGGTCACACTGTCAGAACTAACTTTTCCCCATTTTGGCAGTGACTAAAGCCAGGCGGGGTCATCCTCTGAGTTTGACCAGGTGGGGAGTAATGCTGCAGTCATTTGGGATGAAAATTTCCCTAAAGGGAAGAGAGTTTTTCATCTCTCTTCAGTGCATTGGAAAGTGTGGAGTCACTGCTGACTCAGCTAGATGTGCTTCTGTCTTCTCCTTTTACTTCAGGCTAAACATTAATCTAATGCTGCATAGGTAGACCATTTATTAAAGCTTGGTATCTATTGTTAACCTCTGTTGACTTTGGATGTAGCCTTGGGAAACATGTACTAAAGGGGTGGGCAGCAGGAATTGCTCTGCTTCCCTGGGTGCTTGTTGGGAATGGGGGAAGGGAATAACAATAACCATTTATAGAGCACCTACTGTGTATATTATCTCATTTGATCTTTACAACAACCCCTTATTATCTCCATTTTACAGTGAAGGCGATTGAGGCAAACAGGTGAAGTGACTTGCCCAGGGTCCCAGAGCTAGTAAGTGTCTGGGGCTAGATTTATGATCAGGTCTTCCTGACTCCAGGTCTGGCGCTTTACCTGCTGCCCCACCTCACTTCCCTTGGCTATTTCTGTACATGCCTTATTTTTCTTATGAGATTGTAAGCTCCTAGAGTACTGAATGTGTCTTTAGATTTTCCATGATAGTCAGTCAGGACAGGGACTTGCAAATGGTTCAGTAGGTGCTCAGTGACTGTTGAATGAATCAATGGTAGTTTTTAGTGACCTTCTTTCTTGTCAGGGATCACCTTTCTACTTGCGTCCTTGATTGCCTCTCTTCCTGTCTCCTCTGGGAGCATTTCCCAGAGGGTACCACTCCCCCTGCCTCTTATCTTATTTTCAGTCTCTCTATTCACTCTTTTCCCACTGTTTAAAAACATACCCACGTCCTTCTCCTGGCATCCTTTAAAAAACCAAAACCAAACCTGCACTGGTCTTACTGTCTTCCCAAGTTGTTGTCTTATACTTCTTTTTCTCCCTGCCAAACTCTTAGGAAGAGCTACCTACTTTCACTGCCTTTATATCTTTATCATCAATTTGCTTTCTGCCTTTTGACCCCAGTCCTAGGTGGCACAGTGGATAGAGTGCCGGGCTTGGAGTCAGGAAGACTCCTTTTCCTGAGTTCAAATTTGACCTCAGACACTTATTAGCTGGGGAAGTCACTTACCCTTGTTTGCTTCAGTTTCCTCATTTGTAACATGATCTGGAGAAGGAAATGGAGAACCATGGTATCTCTGCCAAGAAAGCCCCAAATTGGGTCATGAAGAATTGGACATGCCTGAAAATGACTGTACAACAACTTTACTGAAACTAATCTTTCAAAGGTTACCAATGATTTCATCTTTTAAACTGGATGGCATTTCCTTGGGCCTTTTCCTCTATGTCCTCTCACTAGCTCTTGCCATCCTCAGTACTTTCTCTTCTCCTCAGCTTCTGTGATACTGATGTGTCCCAATTCTCAGTTTTAAGTCTTGTTGCTGAGCACATTGCCGCATGCGTGTAGACCATGCTGCTGGGGAG